CGCAGCAGTCCATGAATATGTCTTTTGACGCGGCGGGCATAAAAAAGATATCACGACGCCGAAACCATTCGCCAAGATTATTCTAAGCACCTTTCCAATAATCTAAACGAGAAACCTCTCACGAAGGGTTCGTAAGGCCTAGCTAACAACGGAAAAAACAAAAACGCGGTGCTCTTCCATCGCTGTTGGGGTCTGTTGCTGAGATAATTTTATATTTTGCATAATCTCCAGTACTTTTACTTTTTTACCATTGTTCATCATGTTCTTTGCTTTTGTCATGTCTCATCATTTTTCATGAGCTGCAAATGGGGGGCCCAGCCCAACCCCTACCCCCAACCCCCCAAGACGACCCCACCCCCAAATCCGACCCCCCCGCCAACCCCCCCTCTTGCGCTCAATACAAATGTTAATTGATTCCAGTGATGGCTCATCATTATTCATTTTTTGGTGTATCATGTTTCATCACGATAATGAGTTTCGAATTGTGTTTTATCGTTGTTCGGCAGTTTCCCATCATATTTCTATACTTTCATAGTTGTCCATCGTTTTTCAGGATTTTCCCTCGTGTCCTACTATCTTAATGCTCTTGGAATCACATTGCATCCTCTTCGTCATACTGCAACATGTTTAGACATGTTTCGTTGCTCTTGTTATTTTCAATCATGTACTATCATGTTTCCTGATCTTCCATCGTCTGGCATCATCCTCATGTTCTTCTGTTTTTAATGATTTTCCAGAAACCCCTGTCTTTTTCACGATTTTCCATACCTGACAAGACGGCATGTGTGCCGCAATCTGCAATGCAGCTGCTCCTCGGGACCAGAAAGCTTCAGTAAGCCGTCATGGGCGAGCACACTTGTCTCCTGCTGCGGTAGGAAGATACTGCTTGCTACCCACCCACAATGCATCCCGTCATTTCACAATCGCCTGCGCTGCACCCCTGGCATCTAGCTCGGCAGAATCCTGTCGCGTCGCCTCGATGGATGCAGGTCCCAAACTGAAATGATGGCCAAACTTGGCTCAATACCGTGCTGCGGTTGGGCGGCAAAAAGGCCCTGAGGCATTTGCTTCCGCAGTGTCATGTAGCCTCTATCTATTTCGCTTCCAAGTTGCGGCTCTGACTCGGAACTTCTGTCGTGGCCTGGCGCAAAGCAGGAAGTCCTCTTTAAGGCATAGTATGACCTTTAGCCTGAAGCCTCCACAGTTCACAGAATCCACCCACCCACATGGCAATATGCTTGAGAAATTGCAGCGTTGCTTTGCTTACATGATGGCCCTGTCCTGAGGCTGTGGACTCAGTTGAGCCAGCTGTACGGAGGGCTGTGTTCACTTCCCTCACATCACGGAGCAGCTCCATTCTCCGAGTTTCAAAGACCTGCGAACACCAGAGACTGCAAACTTGTTGAGCTGTGATATCCTTTGTATTGAAACATGAATTCATTTGCAAACCTCCAGGGAAGCAAATTCGTCTGGGTTGATCTCTGCAAACTCCTCCAGGCAGCCGTGCGTAGTCAAACGGAGCCCCTGCAGCAGAAGCGTTCACTCCAAGCCGTGCCACTGTGCGAGGTGGAACTCGGGCCTCCATGTCCAGCAGCCCTTGGCGGAAGAGTTCCAATGCAGCACCTGTGCATGATGGGACCCCGAAATAGCAGTGAAAAGCGAAGTTAGAAAGAGAGAGAGAGAGAGAGAGAGAGAGAGAGACAGAGAGAGAGGGAGAGAGAGAACATGCTGGTGGCGTTCCATCCTGCATAGGTGTCGAAAACATGGATGCCACGGAGGTGAAGGTCAGCCCGGCGTTGATTGGAGCTCTTTGGCACAACACCATCAGACCTTTTAAGGTTTGCCATGCGTACTTTTCAGCTCACGCTTGTAAATTGCAAAAAAAAATCTTAGGAACTATTTCAGCAAGCACCTCACGACATCGTGAATCAGAGCCGCCCGAACAGGCCCATCAGCCACTGCCATAAATTCTTCTGCAAAGTCAATGTCTCCCTCGCCGCTGTCGCCGATAAACACAAAACGAGCTTCGGGATGCAGCGTTGCAAACTGCCCGAAAACTTCTGTTTTGCGCTCCGCCATCGCTTGCCGAGCTTGCTCCGGTGCGAAGAGCACCTGGGCGACGGCCTTCAAGGATCCAGGCAGCACCACAGCCTCCGCAATGCCAATATCATCCACCAACAGCCGCCTGAAAACTGCAAGCTAGGCAGCTAGAATGCAGCGAAGTGTGCAAACATGATTAATGCAAGGACATGAGAACTTGCACTCTGCAAACTCCAGGACCTGGTCTGGCCCTCCCACATCGGTGGTCTTGCAGAGAGGAATGTCACGCGGTTTCCCAGCGCATGGAAAAGTGGAAGAGCACCGGGAACTGGACCAGTCGGAAACTTTGGACCACCTGTGCTGCGGCACTGAGAGGAGATTCTGCTCTGTCGGGTCTCAGGGTCTCGCACCTGCTCCGAAAGTCCCAACCCAAACCGTCATGTCGATGTCGGACAAGATGTGGACCGGCAGGCTTGTGAGTCCCGCGGCTTGGTCCACGAAATGCTGCAGAAGTACCTCCCTGCGGACCTGGGCAGAGTGTCTGCACATCCAAATCAGCATCATATTTGAGCGTACTGGCCTGCTCGGAGATGACTGTGTAGATGGTGTGGCGCAAGTCGCGGCCACCACCAGCAGCGTCGACTGAGCATTTCAGCACAACACTGCCACGCAAAGAAGCACGCGACATATAGTCTGTCTTAGAGGAAGCCAGAGGCTATGTACATGGGCATCGGTGTCGTTGCTGTCCAAATGTCAGACATTTGACAGGAAAAGAATACCAAGACGCTTGCACAGACGAGCTGCCTAATTGCTTGAGATCCAGCAGCTCCTGGCTTTGCAGATTCTCACATGTTGCCATGTCAATGCAGCAGCGAAAGCGCTTCTTGCAGCATATTCCTCTCCTTGCCCTCTGTTTGCAGGAAGAGCTGGCACAACACAGCCTGCAAGAACAATTCGTTTCAAAAGATGTGAGAAGTCTTCTAGGCTAGGCGCTAGGCCTCCTCAGCGCGTCGGGCAGCCTCCAAGCCGGGGCCCTCTGGAACCTGACCTGGACAGTTTGCCGAAAACACGAAAATGGCAGGGCATGGCCCGGCATGGCAAGGATTGGAGGCCAGGGGGCGTGGAGGTCCGGAGAGCTTCTCGACCAGCGCGCCTGATGATGGGCCACGCTCACAGTATCTGTCAACATGATATCATATCAAAATGGCCTATGATGCGGCTGCTTGCCAGAGCAGATAGGCTCTGCGATTGCAATTTTTGGGCAAGAACTCGCAGAAGTGATTGACTGCCTCTCACGAGTCTTTGTGCCCTCTGATCTCAGCCTACGCGCTGGCATCACATGCTAGCCTGAGATGTGGGGCTGCACCGGTGCACTGGCTGGTTTGTCCTCGTCTGCAAGGAGCAAAGACCTCGGTGTCTGGCAAGAACCAGTGGATTGCATATGCATTCGTCATGCCGCCACATGCTGCCACGGGGCAATGGTGCTTGCAGGAGCAGCTCCTCCAAGAGCAGTGGATCCCTGCTCCTGCAAAGCTAAGAAGAAAAGATGAAGTGCTAAACGGGACCCACGTCACAGCTCACGTATAACGAAACAGGCTGTCGTGCGGACAGGATCAGGGGCACATATCAGATCAGGGCAGGGCCCCATCCCTAAACCCTAAACCCCTGAACCCTAAAATACCAGAAACAGCTGAGTAAACGCCGAAACCCTAAACCTCCACAGCTGATCCGTTTCGTAGTGCGCCCTGATCTGAAACCACGGAGCCGTTAGTTACCCAGCACCCTTCTACGCCCCCAAAGATCTTATACCTGCAGCTTCCGTTCTAATCAAATGTGCCGAGGCTCTCGGATTTCGCAATCAGCTCCTGGCGCATTTCCGATCAACAATTGCAACATGTACCATACTGGAAAGATAATCAAGGTACTGTACCAGCATTCAGCATTCAGTTTCGCATGCGTGTGCCAGACCGACGAATGCTGCACAAAACTCAACAAAAATGTCAGTCCGTCTCAGTCTTTGCGCAATGCTTCGAGTACTGCAGAATCAAAGATGTTGCAATGCCACTCTCTGTTCCAGGCTCCGCTTCGTTTGAGTCTCCGTTTTTCCACTTTAGTCCCTATACATCCCCTTATAATCCCTGTGCAATCCCCTTTCTTCTGTCTTACACGGCCGCTGCGCAAGCACAACCACTTGGGCAACACGCGATCAGGATGGAAAAAAATCTGTCCGGCTTCTCTGCCGTGATCCAGAAATACTCGTTTTGACACTGCGCTGCTCCAAATCTGGTTGACACCCTTCACGGCTAAGGTAGCGTTTAAGGCAACGGAAATCTTTCTTTGCGATAGCCTGAAGTGGACCTCTGCCCTCGACATTGCCACGTGGGAGCCAGGGGAGGGAATAGGAAACTTGGCAGGAAGGGCTGTTGCGGGAAGGGCTGTGACAGGAAGGGCTGTGGCAGGTGGCAGGGTCGGTCAAATCCTCTGAAGCAAAGGTTGCCTAGAAAATCCTTCAGATCATACTGATCGGAATGTGAACCCAGGAGCAAAAACCAGACGGTCTGTTACTAGTAATGAAGATGCAACTCGGCCCTTCAAGCAGCTGCCGGCCTCAAACTCCTTCTGGGCACGTGCGACTCCTGTGGGAGAGCTCAGATCCTGCTGAGACCAGAAATGGATCGCCTGTTCGAAGTTCTCGAAGTGTTCGCGAGTTCCAAAGTCATCCAGGCCCTCTTCCCCTCCTTTCGACCATCGCACAGAGATGCTCGCATAGCCTCCACCCAATAGCCTGAACGTCCCAGCCCCACGGGCTTGCTTCAAGGAAATGCGGGCTTCGCCTGCCACCCGGTCTCCACGCAAGCCTCCCGCATCCATGACCCGGACGGAAAGCTCCAACTCCTGTGGGGCAACCTCATCCTTGCAGAACTCCACACGAGACGGCGACACGTATGCTTTTGGCATCTGGAGCCTACACTTGGCATTCCAGCGCGGGTTCCGCTGTCGAAGTTCCGGAGCTGTGTTGCATTCAGGTTGTCCAGCTGCTTTGGCCGCCCAGGGTTGATCCCGATATCCAGTGGCGAGGGCGCAGTAGGGCACAGGAAGCGACTTGGAGCCCATTGACAGATCTGCAGCCGCAACCACCTGAACGCGCAGAAATGCGGATCCCTCAGAGAATGCTTCTGGAAATCGGCCGCCGCTGGCCTTGCAAGGATCCAGAACAATGCCAGCAACATGCAAAAGCTCCACAGCCACCTGCTCTCCATGCTTGGCCGTGTGTCGGAGAAGCACCATTGCATCCTGAGAGGCATCGACTCATATAGTGTCAAAAAACATCGTACAGTGCTAGCACATGTCACAAAGAAAAAAAAAAGCACTCTTTCTGTAATCAAGTGTCTCGTGTCTCTTGAGCGACCCGTCGGACTTCGCGTCCTGCACTGGCCTCAAAGGCAGAGGGAAAACAAGGCAGTGGCGGTTTAAATCTGCCCTGGTGGATCAGACATTACGAGAAGTGCGCATGGATGCTGAATCTGCTCCACTGCCAGGGCTCAAGGTCTGAGAAAACTCGCCCAAACCGGGAATTGCCAGAGCTGGAGCTGCCAGCTTCACTCCGCCCAGCCTTGTACAAAGGGGGAAATACAGAAAAAGTATGTTTTTATAGGATGCCAACCTCTGGTGGCCGAAACCAGGACATGGCCCAGATTACAGAACGTTAGGGACGCATTGCGGCAGCCGCCGATGCGAGCAGCATTGCTCCAGTGAACTGCTTGGCTTTGCAAACAGTGCTCTGATGAAGCTTGGGATGAGTCCAAATCATTTGACACTGGATGTGAAGGCAAAATCTTGATTCCACATCATTCAATACCTGCCAATTCTGCTCCAAGGTTCGAGCTGAACTATGCAGCAAGTCGAGCATACAATTGTTCCCAAGCGCAAGCTGCTCGTGCAAATGCCCCCAGCTGCTATACATGCAAAACCTGATTCAGCAACAGCGTCATCGCACGGGTGAAGGAGTTGACGGCTTGTCTGCAAGTCAGAAGCCTCCACAGTCCTGTCAGGACTTAGGACCACTTCTCGCGCCATTAAATGCAAGGCTTCATTGTTCAATTTCAGCACCTCACCCTAGCTTACCCGTCAGCACAATCAAAAGCAGTCATATATGTGGAAGCAAATATGGGCTTGTTGGCCGGCATGCACCACCACAGGCACCTACAGAAGGGACGGGTCCTGAAGGCGCGCTGTTGCTGCGCGTGTTCCAGAAGTGCAGCGAGCGTCTTCGACTGCGCCACAGTCTGCGCGTGGCACACCACCAGAAGGCACTCGCGAGCGCGAGTCAAAGCGACGTTCAAGCGTCCTCAGAACAAAAGGCCACGGCAATGCACGGCAGCTACGCGGACCAGGCATTGGATCTTCACAGAACTCCATCCTCAATCTGGCAGCCAACCAGATCTGAAAATGAATGAAGCCGGGCCACGCTCATCAGCTACGAAACCAATTCCAGAGCGCGAGTTGTGGGATGCACGCACCTGAAGCTAGTTGAAGATCTACACAACCACTCATCCTGGCTTAGGCCCAAGCGGTGGAGCAGATCACAGCTTCGAACTCCTGGCCTGCAATTGGCACATCAAGCTCATAAGAGACACCGACTTGATTGTACAAATTGTCTGGCCTTGGTACGAGTCGACGGTCGCAACTCTTACAGGAAACTGCAGCTTGCGCCGGTTCAGAGCGGACTCAATCAGAAACTGTTGCGCTTTGTAGGGCGTAATGATGCCTAAGCTGTGACTGTATGAGGAAGGGCTCCTCCTTTCGGTTAAAGAATTACTGATATCAAAACTTCGAAAAATGCCAATGTCTGCCGGGTGGCCAATGTCACGGGCCAGAACGTCATTGCTGGCTGACAATGAAGTGGATTGCAGTTCAGCTGCAAGCCGGGCGCAGAACTTTGCCTCCTCCTGCACAGCGGAAGAAGTGAAAGCCAAGGCTTCTCTTAGGTCGGTCCTGGTTTTGCCAAGAGCCAGATGCTGTCTGCACCGCATGCCTAAAGGAAGAAACAATGGAGAACATGGAGCAAGCATGTACGGAGTCACTCTTAATTGACCACATCAGCTCAGCGACGACTTCAGGTCCAGGAGAAGGAAGGATGGCACAAGCTTGGTCTGGCGGCGTTCAGACACTGATGGCGCATCCAACAGGCGTCCTACGAGAAGACATGAGAAGACTTCTTCAGGGCAACAGCATCGCTTAAATCTAGCCTCACACGCCTCCTCCCATGCTTATTCTCTCAACACACTGTGGTCCTGTAACAATACAACTATGTGACAGGCCTGTTGCTTACCCAGCTTGAGTCTACAGGAACCCATGCGCAGCAGTCCTCCATAGAAATGCTTGCGTGGAAATGCAGAAATGGCTGGTGCCATGCGGTATTGCTCCTGGTCATGCTCACCGGAAGCGCTCCGTGACCAGCCATGCGCGAACGTGAGTTGCAGCTGTGTCATCAACATAGAGTGCCATAGAATGCAAAGGCCTCCAGCAAGTCTGGTTGATGACCTGGTGGGCAGTGGCTTGTTCAGGCACCAAGGCATGCAAACTTTATTGAGGTCAGAGCCAAGCACACAAAGCCGCTCGAACATTGAGCGGTTTATCTGGAGGTCGTCTGCTTCAGGATGAAAGACGGTTGGCGGTAGCCTGCTAAATTCGGGTTCTGACCAGATGGAAACGAGTCGCTTCCGAGGCAGTCGCTGGAGGTGATCTCCCAACAAGACCTCACAAGCTCTGTCAACATGGCCATCTTGCTGCTAAACTCAAGGCCTGAGTATGTCGCACAGCTTCTGCTGCCTGCACCAGATCCGAAAATTGTGATCTTGTGCGCAAGAGAGCTGAGAATAGCTGAGAATTTCAAACCTTGTGAAGCAAAGGACTCCAAGCTTCCAGTACGGTGTGTTGCTCCAGCAAATCATGCTGACTTCTTCGGAGTCTTCTGCCACATTCTGTTCAATGACTCAGAACAGTCATCGATGCCAGCCTGCGACATCCAGAGGAACCTGCCAAACAAGGCAGAAGTGCTCAAGACTTTCAGTGATTCCAGTGGTGCCAGTGCCATCCAAGTGACCATGCACGCAGGCTCCGTAGCTTGGCCAGCCTCGTCTATGACCTAACAGGCATGGTGACATGCGACACATTGACACCCACTTGATGCCAAAAAGCTGCCACGCAATCGAAGCCGCAGCTGGCCTGAGCGCTACAATAAGCCCAGATTCTCGCAGCATCTCTGTCACCATAGGTGCCACACATGTTCACGCAGGCGTGCCGCGCCTGTGCTGCAAGCAGCATATACAAGCAAGAGCAGCACATAGCAGCACGCTAGCACGCTCCTTGCGCTGGGAGCAGCACTGTTTGTCGTGGAGAAGATTAAATGCGCCCCTCCGAGGATGGAACGTTCCAAGGTCTTCTGCCTAGCTGAGCTGATGCAGTGGCAGGTGCCAAAGGCCAAACACGTGACAGAGCCAGGCTGCAAGGCCCAGAGGTCACGCCGTCCCGCAATCAAGTGCCCACACCGCTCTTTCTCCATGGACAGGGCCAGCCACCTGTGCAGGCTTGCTCGGTTGTAGCTACAGTGCCGGGAGAGAAAGCTCAGGCCTGTTTGCCAAGCTCACTAACTCCTGTTTACCAGGCATACACAAAGAAGGCAGGTCTTCCACGCCAACGTGAATTGCGGACGTTTAACGGTCAGTCCTTCATGCGACCGATAACATGCGGAAGCTGCAAAGGCAGGACCGAGTTCTCGCCAGGAAGAGGCCCTTGAGGCCTGTAAACGGCATTTCATGGTTTCAGGTGCGCCGGCTCAGCTTTACCAGTTTCGCCTCTCTGCATGGTAGATTCCTGAAGGGACGTGGTAGTACCTTGTTGCAAGTTGCTTCTTCAGTCTAACTTCTTCTTTCAGAGACGACATGCACGCAGTCGAGTCGAGTTGCCAGAGGACCCCTTTTGCTCCAAGCACTGCTTGGAAGTCCGCAGGTAACGGGCAGGTTTCCCGCAGCGTTTGGACTTCTTGTAGCAACTGCTGAACTTTTTTGCTGACATGAGCCATGTCCTCAGCAACCAGAGTGACATATTCGTAGAATAACCACATGACATGGCCTATGCACAATCCGGTAGGTGACAAGAATCTTTAGCGATAGCTACACCACGACGCTCCGCATCTGAAGGCTCCATCGCGAGAAGCTCCGCAACTTCAGCTTCGAGAGACGCCGCAAACAGCGGGCTGCTGCCCACGCGCACAAAAGAAGGCATGTAGTTACCTGGGAGAGCAGGGCTGCTAGGCAAGAATTTGCCCCTCGCTAAAGACTGATAGCGTCTCATACTGATGCCATCCTATGCCCTTGTAGACTGTGGCAGATGCATGCAGCAATCACGAAGATCCAACTGTCCCTTCACTAATCACTAACATGCAGTAGGCTATGCATCACATGCAAAGAATTGAAAAGACCCGTCACACCGCCTCCTGAAACTGTATCTTTTTGTGACCAGGCACCGCCACCCTGATCCTGGAAGCCACGCTGTTGGATACGCTTCTGAAGTGAGTCCAAAGCGGCGTTGCTATGTGCACTGATCAGGAGTCGTGGAGTTGACCTTCAGGGAGGCGCTGGTAACCAAACCCAAAACCAAACAGCTTTCTGAGTGCAAAACTTCACAGCCCGTATCCATTGTTGTTCGCGCTCCCGTGGGCCGCTGCCACCCAGCACAATGTCCTCCAGGCACTTCACGCACGTTTTCAAATGATTGAAACCATGTCGGAAAGGAAGTGCAGCTGAGCGGCTTCAATGCGTCGGTGGTAGAGCTGCATCTTCCTCAGAACCAAATCACCAAAGATACGGAGCTGCCAATCCAAGTAAAGACCGTATGCCGAGCCGAGACTCTGCAAGTGTAACGCGTTGACGAGATGCAAGAGCGTTTGCGATTTACCAGTGCCGGGTGGCCCATGGATAATACGAAATCCTTCAGTACAGGCTGCCGCCCGTCCCACAGCCTGAACCTGGCTCTTGAGAAGGCCCTGCTGACATGCTTACTCTGGAATGTAAACAGCTACTGGCGACAGCTTCCGGCACCTGCGATGGATTCAATGACGCCAAGAATGGAAAGTTCTGAAGCTTTCCCAAGCCTCAATGCTAGCCGAGAAGTGCCAAGCACAATCCACTAGATGCCAAGCCGAGAGTCTAGGGGGAAGGGGGTCCAGATTGGGGTTGGCGCATTGTCTGTCACCCACACTCGAAAACCAAGGGTGAAAAGATCTGATTGTGGAGCTTCCTGTGCCACTTGCGCTTCTTACAACTTGTCTGTCGCAGGTAGCTGCACTAATTCTGTTTGGGCTTCGGTTCGACAACTCATTAACTAATGTTTCTTGTGGAAAGCTCTCATGGGCCTGCGTTTTGGGGACATCGGCATCTTCCAGCCCCTCACCCGCAGCTGCGAATCCGCGCATGCGAAAGCTATCGAAAGCTCATGTATATGAATTTGTACTGCCCAAAATCATGGGCCGAGCTACGAGTGCGGCCCATGGCCGGCCAAGGAGCCCTGCGTCGGCTACTGGAAAGGCCCGACTCGGCCAGCTTCTTAGCTACCAGGAAGTTGCCCAACTGGGTCTGGCGCCACGATGTCGGTCCAACCCAACTAATCCTAGCACCAGTTTTATAAAGGGACCATATGTAAAGAAATTTTTGTTGGAAGAATTAGCCGTCCAAGACTAATTTCAATTAGGCGGAATTTCGTATGGAGGAAAGGGACTAGATTTACAGAATTTTTTTTGGGAGACCAACCCTGAAAATCGAGATATTCAATGCATTCCTATTGATCGTTTAACTGGTTTAGGTCCCAGAGCCCCGATGACGCGGGAATGCATTCCTGTTCTTTTTTAATTGAATTCCAGGAACCCAATCATTCTTTTAATCCGGCGCGCCCTCCATTTCTTATTCTGGCGGGGGGAGGGGTTCCCCCCCAAATAAATACAAGTGCTAGGATTAGCCCCAGCCGAACCCAGAACATCCCCCTTCAAGTTCTGGCAGCAACGCGTCCTCCCCAACTATATAGTACAAAAGGGCGGTTGGGGGGGGCTAACCATTGTTGTCTGCTGGCAAAGATAAGTTGGAAAGCCCATGGAAGGCATAAGACTAACGTTCGTGGAGGGTCAAGTGAATTTTTTGCACCCGTCATTTGATCAGTCAGGAGGATGTTTCTGATGGCTCAGCCAAGGCACCCAACAGGAAATCTATTCTGTCAGAGGCATGCTTCATAGAGTCCAGGCATGGCCCCAAGGATGCGATTTAGTCAGTCAAGAGGATGCTTTTAATGGTTCATCCAAGGCCCCCAACATGTATTATTACTCTGTCAAAGGCATGCTTCACAGGGTCCACGCATGTCCCCAAGGAGGAATTCCATTCACTCAAGCGCATGCTTTGGAGAATGTGATGGCGTGCTACGTAGGCTCTGCACATAGCCCCCAACCCTCGTTCTAGTCAGTTGGTGATGCGATTAGGAGGTTGAAGGTGTAGCTGGATTTGAGAAAGCCATCAGCTACTGACCATACTCACATCGATGCCCAGCGCGTGCCTGATACGTTCAAGCACATGCCCTAAAAGATTTCCATTTCATCAGAAGGTGACAGGCGAGGTATTTTTTTCATGCTGGCGATGCCCAAGAGATCGCAGAACGTGCACAAAGCCTGCTGGCATCTGACAGCCAGCGCTTGCTCGAATCTTCTATGGTTTGGGTACATCGTGGGACTTCTGATTCCACCCCTGAGGAATAGTCCGAAGTAGTCTACACAAGTTATAAGTTATAACTTGGGGCAATAGACTAAACTAGTATTCTATGAGAAGTCTCTAGGTCTACAAGAAGTTGGGATGCCTTAGTCTTCGGAAAGTTCCGCGTGTAGCGTGTTTGGGGTTGAGGGTTTAGGCTTAGGGTTTATAGGTTTAGGTTTAGGCAAGGTTGGAGCGTTTAGGGTTTAAGTTTAGGGTACCGTAGCTGTCACGCCTAGCACTGGCGTGCTGAGCCCTCATGTGCTCAGTCCACAAGTGAAACGTCAGACTCGGCGTCCGAGCAGCCATCACGCTCGCTGGGATCATTCCCAGCTCCACTGCTTGCAGATTCATCCGCCGGAAGCCGCATATGCAACCTCGGGTAAGCATACTCATCTCGTAGATTTGCCACCATCAGAACCTCAGCTTCTGACAGCAACCGTGGAATGTAATTGAGTTGCACGCATGCACACGGAATGATTGCCGACCCAAGATTCGCTGAGTATGCAAGCTCCTACCACGGGCACAGCCATGGCATTGCCACACATGGACTGGCACTGCTTGCGCGGCACATCTGTCTCGTAGTGGATCTTGTGCACCGGTAGCCCTTGCCTGCAAAGTGCGCCCAAGCCACTAGACCACTTAGACCTGCTGCTTTTAACAAATTACCGAATCACTTGCGCATAATCTCAGGGCTGAACGATGCCAACAAATGCACAGGATTCAGGAGGGTGTCGCGCCCGTAGCAATACACATTGCTATTCCGCGTTAGCCTCACATGTGTGTCTCTCCAAATACGCAAACAATCATGCTCCTTGTCCTGGTTCTCAGCTGAGGGTCGTCGGCATCAAGCCATCCCGTCGATGGGCATTGCGCGACATGCTTTTGGCCAGGTCCACGCAACACATCTCCAGTGCCCCGCGTCGAGCCACAGCCTAAAATACTAGTTTAATGAAACTGGCTAGGAGTCTAGGTCGGCTGCATGCATCCGAGCGAAAACAAAAAATGCTGCACTGACTGCATGACTGCTGAGGCACGTCTGCATTGCCTGCAGTCAGTGTATGATAAAGGCAATCCAACTGCTCCAACTCCCGATCACTCATACCCGTTGCCCACGTTAATCCTTGCTGGTCACAGCAACATCGCGTGTACCTTGGCTTGTACAACATGCTCCAATCCATGGACTTCAGGGGCAAGCAAACGGAAATGCAATATGACGGTGACAAGTCACGCACGGTACACACTCTCTGAGAAATCATCAGGATTGTCAGAAGAAGTCTCCAGCAGGCGGCGCCTGCTGTCCAAATCCTCCCGGATCTTCGAGCATGCTGCCTTTGGTTTGTACCTGAGTTGCAAGACCAGAAATCGATGTTCAAAGAAAGAATGAATAGATGTCCACAGGCATGTCATTCAACACATGCAGCCTGTCCATTTTCCAACACACTCTATGTCCTCCAGGCCCAGCTGCAGCAGCTGTGGCACATGAGGTCTTTGAGCATTGCTCACACTTGCACAAAAAAACGTGCTGGTTTACCCAGCGTCTGGTATCATACGACATGACATCGCTACGGGATGGATTGCATCTGGCTCATCGAAACTTTGCACCCAACAATATGCTCGTTGTGTCAAGTCAAGACCGACCTAGTCCTGAGCAATCACATACATGGAAATCACTGGCGTGGGCAGATTTGCTATACGGTATCCGCCGCACACCAATCTTGCGAATACCACTTCGAGTAGTGGGCTCAAAGGCTCAGCGGCTCACCCTTTTGGAACGTGCAGGCTGGGTCTTCGGGGTGGGAGCAGGCGCAGACTTCAGATCCTGCAAGCGCAAGAATCAGCAGCTGATTATGCGACTAGACTATATAGACTGACAGGGTCATGAGATGGTCATGGCCCATAGCGCCTTCAACAACTTGTCCAGCAGCATGCTAGCTTTAGCTGGCTGATCTTTGCGGGGGAGGTAGAGCTGCGCGGTGGCAAACTTCAGGAAGCCGTTCACATCCTTGATGAGGCTGCCCCCATTGCTGCGATCACGCAAGAAGAGCTCCAAGGCCATGAAGGAAAAGCTGGCGCCCGCGAAGTCAATGCTCTTGGGCGCCTGCTCATGCGCGTTCTCCAGAACCTTCACGGCTTCTGCATCCACCACGCCCTTGAAGTCCGAGAGCCGCGAAATGAAGCAGTGCAAGAGTGCTTCGTGATCGCGCAACGACTTCAGACCTATCAAATCAGTCACGTCAAAGTGTAGTCAGAATTCATGTCCATGAATCCATGAATGTCATAATCACAGCTCAGTTTGGCCCTCAAATCTCATGGTCAAAGTCATTCATAGACTAACTAGATTACTCGTGTTGTCAGACAAGACAGAGCCAGAGCTGCCTGCTTTGCCTTCGACTGCCTCACGACTTACGGCGTAACCCAATCAAAATGCAAAGCAACCTAACCCTGACGCTAACAGTTTAGTTTAACTTTAACTGCTTAACAGAACAAATGCACTGTCCATTAAAATCTACCGCTACCTTCAACTGCTACACTGACAATGACATAGCGCCTGCGATGGTGTCCTGCAAAGGCTGCACCTGCGTGTTATGCTTCTCGACGAGCAACACCATCTCGGACGGCAAGATGTCATTGGTCAACGTGGCCACGTCCTGGTCTTTCATGAAGTCATGCACCATCTTCACATCAGTGTACACGGCCATCATCGATTCCTTGCCGGCAGCCACTGCGGCACTGACACGAATTATTGACGCCGCTGCTTTCTCAGCCATGCCCTTCATGGCCTCCTCCAGCCC